CATACCTGGAGGTTAAAGCAAAAAGACATTGAAAAGTACATGGCAGTAGAAATTGTCTTTCATGTTGCTCATTTGTGTTTCTAAAGGCACACACTGGTATCTGGGAGGGAAAAGGGAGGAGGTCATATCTCATACTGACATGCTTGATCCTCTTCCATGAACTCAAGGTTGGTGTGTGGGGAGAGCATGGCAACCTCCTCTTGCAGAGGAGTGGACACAGACCCAGACACAGGGCCCCTTTCATTCCTTTGGTCTGTTTGCAGCTTCAGCTAAGAGTGCCAATTACTGCTCCCATCTGGCGTTTTGCTGACCATGCCTATTTTAGTAAAAGGCAAGGTTGTCTCTTGTTTGTTCTGCTTCTCTTAGCTAATATTGTTCACTGTTTTCTGGGCCTGTAAAAAGAGCTGACATAGCCTGTATCAGGTTTTTACATAAACAGCACATGGATTTTGGCCCTTCAATGACATTAAAGCGTGTCTTGAAAGACTGAACAGAGTTCTCAATCCAAGGAGAAGAACTTGTAAGATTATATTAACTGTGCATTCAGGTGCCTTCAGGTTTGATCAATGCAAACAGCCTACGCAGATTATGTGGCGTGGATTCACTAAGAGTGGGTCTGTATCTGGAAGGTGCGGGCCACTGACACACCGTGATTATGGCAGGTAGAGCAGTATTTCCAGTCTGTACAGCAGCGCCTTCTGCCGGTTACCTCGGGAATTAGCTCAATTCCAGCTCTCGGCACACCCTCTGCTGGCCGGTGTCTCGCCTGCCTCAGGCCCCATGTCCCTCCTGGACCTGGTGACTCTTACCTTGGGGTGCCGCCCCACACTCTGGGTCTTCCTCCTAGGGGAACCCCTTCCCCCTATTCCCACCTTGCCTCAGTGGCTACTGCCAGTCGTCATCTAGCCCCCTTTCTCTGGGGCAGACTGCAGTCTGTAATGGCCACTCATCATCCACAAGGGGGTGGGACCAGCTGCCTCTGCCTATCCCCAGGCTGCACCTCTGCAGCCCCAGTAGCTGCTTAGGCCTTAACAGTGCCTCAGCCTGGAGAGTTGCCAGGCAGGAGCTCCCCAGCTCCTCTTGCCCTTCCCCAGCACTGCTCTGCTCCAGATACCCTGAGCTCCCAGGCAGCCAGGTCCTTCCCACTCCAAGGCTGGAGTCAGACTCCTCCAGCTCCTAGCCCCCAGTCCCTTATCAGGGCCAGCTGGACCTGATTGACCTGGCCACACCTGTGGTCAGCTACTCCCTCAGCTGCTCTCACTCCTTTCATCCCAGCCACAGCCCTCTCCAGGGCTGCTTTTAACCCCTGTTCTGCTGGAGTGGGGCAGCCGCTCCACTACAGGAGGATGTGGAGTGGTGTGGTTTCCCATCTCCGTGTACTGAATAAAACCAGTTTAACTGGTCAGAATAAATGTTCATTGCCAGTTTAAACCTTCCAAGGGAATTGAATCTTTCATGAACTGTCCTGATTTCTAGGAACGTATTTATTATTCTTAACTATTTGCTGGATATTTGGGGTGAAACTGACTGGCAGCCCTCAATCCACAGTCATGGTCCCTAGTGTATGATGATAATGTTGCTGTCTATTTCCCACACCTGTTGTTATTCTAGCTGACTCCTCATATATTTTGATGTTGTATTCTTCATTGTCCGTTACTTCCTCCACACACACAGAGAGACTTTTCCTCCATTACATCATTG